CATTTTTACACATCTCTGTGCGGCTAATAAGTGCTTTATTGAATATGGTCTCTTCAGGAGTAGAGAATTCCGAAATAAAACTTATTAACCCCAAAAAATTGAACAAATTAAATAAAGTTACAATTTACAAAAAAATTCGGATACACTGATTCAATTCAAAAGAAAGAACTAATTCAAAAAAACCATTAAAATGAGGCAAAACCATGTCGAGGCTCAAATCTTGATTTAGAAACTAACAAAAGCGCGACCAACTCAGAGGATTAGCAATCTCCTATCAAACCGTAGGTTAAAATGTCCCGAGAAAGTTTCTGTTCGTTAAACATAAGTTTCTGTTGGTTTGGTTTTTCAACATTTAAGAAAACTTCGAATCCTTTCTTTATGAATCAGAAGAAAAATCGTTCGAAAAGTACGGCCCCAACACCAAAAAATCCGCAAATCATTCAAAACTTGAGATTTTAGCGCAAATTTAACCGCCTGCAGAGTTATCTCAAAAAGTTTCAGGTCTAGATGTCAACAAAACTAGAAACTTGAAAAGTAACCAAATAAATAAACAAAAAAAAACTGAATCCCAAAACTCTATAGCCGCAAAATTTTAAATTCGAAACGTTAAATTTGTAAATATTAGTCCATTTTAACCATTTTAAACCAATTTTAGCTAATCGAATTATAAATACCTTTCAGGCATACAATCAGAAAATATCATGTTTTGCTTATTTAATAACTCTGTCTCAAGCTGAACGGCCAAAATCCTTCCCTTTAGTGAGTTTTGATGATAACAAGTGCCTTTTTATAACAAAAGTTTGGTATTAAAATAATATTTTGATTAAATCTGTTACATCTGGATTGATGACTTTCGAAATCTTGTCAATCGTTTCATACAGTCTTATAATAATAATAATAACAAGACTGCTCGTATCAGAGCAAAACTTTGAATGTTCCGACTTCCTCTTAAGGTCTATGGCGCAGTAATAACCTTAAAAGATTAAATGTAATTTAAAAAAATGATTATTTTTTTGATTTGAGATTTTTTGTGAAAGTCATCCTCCCACACGCCATATAGTGTACAAAATGATAAACTTTGCTCCAAGTAACAAAGCAAATATGCTTCCTTCAATCAATTTGGAATGATTTCTGAGACGGATTGAATGTCCGCTTACGCGTTAATAGCGCGAATTATATAACGCCGTGTTAATTGTCAATTGTCCCAAATTGGCCAAAATGGCAATCTTTAATACCCCATAAGTTTACGAAAAACAATCACAGACAAAACATCTTTTCAAATTTAACCTCATGACAACAATACTTTTGAATAAATAAAAAAAATCCGCAAAAAATAGCTAGGTAGAAAGTCGAATTTTGTCTGAAGAAAAAAAAACCCACCCGAGCACAGATGTTCCGTTACTTTCGTTACGAAAGTCGGAAAAATAATAACGTAGTTCCGGTGAATCGCAGAGGGTTTTTCAGTGGGCCTTAACAGTCCTGTCGAGGATAGTGCATTTGTGGGGACCGATCGTTTAGCAGACCAATCTTTTAGCATAAAAAGTGAAAAATGGGAAATCTTTTCATTCAATTTCATACAATTCCATACGTACAGAAAGTTGTATGAAAGCTCTATAGTAAACATTTTTTCATAAATGGAAATTGTATAATAGGTGTTTTATCTATGAACCAAAAAGTTGTTTTTTGTTTCTAGATTTATTTTCTGAAAAATTTTGGGTTGTGTTTGCAACCGAACACAAGTTACGAAGACCTTGGTTACTCAAAGCACCAAAGGTTGGACGGTCTTACATTTACAATGCTTGAAAAACGACCTGAAATGTCTTCCAGATGTCTTTCACAAATGATATAACAAAATAACAAACTTTCAGTGATGATTGTTTTAATTTTTTTTTGAATTTTCAAATTATCAGACATTGATCAAGGCATACATAAACACGCCATACAAAAGAAAATGGAATTTTCAGCGTAGTGAAAAGAAAAAGAAAGCCAATATTATCGTATCCAGGACTACGTTTTGCACACAAAAAACTAAATTTTGCATGCAAAAGGTTTTTTTTTCGAAAAATGTTTGTTTGCCTACAAAATTCGATTTGCGGTTGAAAAAAAAAAAAAAATTGTGGGGCAAATTTTCAAAACTACTTGAAAAAATTTTTTGTGTCACCATCAAAAAAATGCCAGTCATACAATTTCCATATATGGAAAGCATTTTTAAAAAAAAAAGATTTCAAATCATTTTTTTTGTCACCAGTCTGTTCAACTGTTCTCAAAAAGCCGCAGAAATGGTTTAACTTTTTTCTATTGCTTTTCGAAAATGTATGAAAGTTGTATGACAAGCATTTTCTCCATACACTTGATGTATAGATTTGTATGATAATGATTTTTGTTGTATGGAATTGTATGATAAGCATTTTCGGTGTATGGAGGTCAACCCGGGGAGCTAATCACCAGTGCAGCAATTGAAGTTAGCTATCACACTTTATAGTTGTTCTGAGTCTGCTAAAAACCGGTCTGCTAAAATCCCTAGCACCTCCATTTGTATTATCTCCCCACATTCCAGACTGTATTATGTCTTCTGTTTCCAAGTGATAACTAGAATGTTCGACTAAAACAAGCATGCAACATTTCCTGTAATTTTTAAGTTTTTGTCGACCAACTCAATTGCCTGATGAAATTTATGATGAAAACAGTCCAATTTAGGTTCTTCAGCCTCAACCAATCTACTACACAAAGTGTCAAATTCCGCCGATGAACCGAAGTTCCAGAAGCCGGTTTCTGGAACCAGATGATTCACGTGACTTGGATTTGTCGAACGACAACGAAGAGGACTACGAAAAGATATCGAGTAGCTTCGATTTCTCTGAATCGCTCGAGCACAGCGGCAACATGGGCCTGAATGAAAAGAAAAGATCGAACGCCGAAAAATTCAAAAGCACCTTTAAGAATATTATAAACTAAGTTCCTTGATTTAAAAATAATTGAGGATCATTTGAATTTGAATTGAGGCACCTTTGAGGGTTGAAATCATGGGCGGATTTGGGTGGGGCATGTGGGGCTAATCGCCCCTTTTCCCAGGGATTCGACCCCCTGCCGACCCAAAGGTTCCCCCCTTTGATACTTTTTAAGAAATCCATTTTTGGCCGACCGACCCTAAAGTTTTCTAAAGGCGCCTTCGGTGCCCATATATACTAATTCTGCGGGGGAAGCGCGCGCCGAAAAAACGCAATTTTTTGGTCAAAATTTTCCAAAAGTGCTTAAAAACGCCTTTTTTGGACTGTTTTTTAAAATTTTGCCTGCGGCGCAGAAAATTTGGCCAAAAAACAGGGATTAAACCGTGCTTAGGGAGAGCCCAAAAAATCAATTCGGTCGACCTAAAAAAAAGGTCGACAAAATTTTCGAATTTTTTTTTGAAAATCCGCCCCATTCGAGAAAATCCTAGATCCGCCCCTGGTTAAAACAATGCGCTTATAAACTATTTAAATCATTATTTGACATTGCGAAATAGGAAAAATCGAAAAACCAATTAAAGCATTTTGCAAATTTAACTTTCACGAAATTGATAAATCCCCCGTCAATGTAATTTACGCTATCAACAAAGCTGAAATGAACTTAAATGCAATGCATTGAATTAATCAGAAGAGGTACGATTGATGAAACGTTGGAAAAGCCCATAATCTTTTGTTGTCCAAATAGTTAAAATAAATGAAGCCAAAAATAGCCAATTTTTACTTCCAAACATGAAATTTTGGATGAAACAAGGCAAAAGGATTTTAAAGAAAAGAACAGTTTACAAAACCTAAAGAAATGTACAAAGAATGCACACCATTGAAAACTTAGAATGGGCCGGAAATCAAAATCAGTATAGCTAGACATCAGAAAAGAGCCCCTTTGTCAAAATAATAATTTTGAGATATCCATCTTTGGCTGATTGAATCTAAAATTGTTCTAAAATATACTTATTTTGAGGGGCATTTTATATTGGTTAGTGGTAGTGAAGTGGTTACGTCTTCCCTCTCAATCGAAAGGTCGGGTGTTCGAGGCTCATCATGATCCGTGTTCGTTGCTTGAGGGTGAAGCAATATCACCCAACCCAGAAAAATAACCACAAAAACTGCATGCAGTTCTAAAAGAGGGGCACAACAGCGGTTCGCCATGATGAGCTATACAGCTCTTGTGTTGGTCCTTTTCACCGTGGATAAATGGTCTTTATCTTAAAAAAATATTAATTTTTTGGTCAGAGTTTTTCAAAAAAGTGCAAAAAAATGCCTTTTTGGACTGTTTTTTTAAATTTTGCGTGCGGCGCAGAAATCTTGGCAAAAAAACAGGGACTAAACCGTGCATAGGGAGAACTCAAAAAATCGATTCGGTCGACTTAAAAACAAAGTCGACAAAATTTTCGAAAATTTCTTGAAAATCCGCCCCCCCCCCCTCGAGAAAATCCTAGATCCGCCCTGGTTAAAATATTGCGTTTATATGTTATTTGAGTCATTATTCGACATTGCGAAATAGGAAAAATCAAAAAACTAATTAAAGCAGTTAGAAATTTTAACTTTCACGAAACTGATAAATCCCCCCTCAATGTAATTTACGCTATCAACAGAGCTGAAATGAACTTAACTGCAATGCCTTGAATTAATCAGAAGAGGGACGATTGATAAAACGATGGAGAAGCCCATAACCTTTTGTTGTCCAAGTGTTTAAAACAAATGAAGCCAAAATTAGCCAATTTTTATTTCCAAACATGAAATTTTCGATAAAACAAGGCAGAAGGATTTTACAGAAAAGAACAGTTTACAAAATCTAAAGAAACGTACAAAGAATGCACACCATTGAAAATTAAGAATGAGCCGGAAATCAAAATCAGTATAGCTAGACATTATAAAAGAGCCCCTTTTGTTAAAATAATAACTTTGAGATATCCATTTTTGGCTGCTCGACTCTAAAACTTTTCTAAAATATACTTATTTTGAGGGGGCAATATATATTGGTTAGTGGTGGTGAAGTGCTTACGTCTCCGCCTCTCAATCGAAAGGTTGGGTGCTCGAGGCCCATCATGATCCGTGTTCGTTGCTTGAGGGTGAAGCAATATCACCCAGCCCAGAAAAATAACCAAAAAACTGCATGCGGTTCTTAAACAGAGGCACAGCAGCGGTTTGCCATGATGAGCTGTATGTACAGCTCTTGTGTTGGTCTTTTTCCCCCGTGGATAAATGGTCTTTATCCTAAAAAAATATTAATTTGGGGGGGGGGGGGAGGAGCGCGCGTCAAAAGAAAACACAATTTTCGGCCAAAGTTTTTCAAAAAAGTGCCTAAAAATGCCTTTTTTGGCCTGTTTTTTTTTTCAATAATTTGCTTGCGGCGCAGAAAATTTGGTCCACATGGGGGTCTGTATAGTGATTTGGCAGAGCTCAGAAAATCAATTTGGTCAACCTGTAAAGAGGTCGACAAAATTTTTTGAAAATCCGCAACCACCCCTCTCGAGAAAATCCTAGATCTACCCCTGAATTCTAATAGGTAACATTATTAAAATAGACATTTCAAAACATTTCAAAACAAAAAATTTCGAAAATAAATTAAAACTTATTCCATCAAAAACCTGATAACCTTTGAAACATAACAGGGTAGAAACCAATCAAATGATTTTCTAAATCAAACTGCCGTGGACAAAAGATCAATTGAAAAACTATTCACGCAACTAAAAAATTAACCACGCTAGTACAGGTACAGGCGGTACAGAAACGAGAGTGATAGAGTTTAACAAGATTCCATGATTGTCTTAGAAAATAACACTACCTGCAAAAAAGTCTATTTCAAACTTCGATGACTCTTTCTCAGATTCTGCTATCCCTTGAATGTCTTTTTCGGACCTAGAAGGTTTTAGGCCCTTTTTAAGATATGTTTTTCGATGTTTTTCAGCTTGACATGAATTGAATTTTTTTCAATTTTTATATTTTGTATATTTTGCAAGCTAGCAAAAAGAAAATGAGACCAAAAAAAGGATAGCTGGTTCCGACCAGTCTCAAAATAGCACAGAATGTTCCGACCAGTCTCAAAAAATACAATCGTAAAAAAGCTTTTTCAAATTGGTGTTGTTTTTTTAAGATATATTGCATGTTGTGATAAAAAAACGTAGGCATCTTTGAGTGCCGTACTAAAAACGATCAATTAGAAAACAGTTTTAGAAGAAAAATTTTCACAAAAAAAAATAAAGTTTTTGAAAAAATTTTTTGCAGACTTTTTTTCGAATTCTCAAATATTTTTTTCCCAAAATTGCACTTGAAAACTTCAAAAACTACCTTTACTTGAGTAAAATTAAGTTTTTACGGCCCAAATAGGCTATTGTAAGCCTACAGGGTCACCTTATTGGCTCGAAATTAGACCAAAAATCAAACGTTCCAAACCCGTCTTTCTCGACACTAACAGAAAAATTTCAAAACTTTTATTGCCGTTCGAATCACGGCTGAAAGAGCTTTAAAATGATATATCCCTCAAACCATTCTGACGATTACTTGTGGTATCTGACTTTGTGTGGAAAAAAAAGAAAAAAAATCACGCCCGAATTCAAAGTTCCTCCCCATTTTCAATAGTCGGAACAAAAAATGAAAATAATTTCAGAAAACAGTCGAGAAATACCCCAGTTTTATATGAGCTTATAGAATTCACCGAGCGGCCTATAAGCAGCCACAAAGAGGGTAGGAGCTAAATGAGCTAAAACTATTGTGCAGTTAAGTTTTAAAACTTTGAAGTCTTTTAGAAAACGAAAACGAACTGATTTTCTCAGAATAAAAACAGATAATTTTATCATTGAAGCAAAACAAAATAAAGTAATCAAGCATATAAAAATAGTTCACAACCATTTCGCCAAATAAAGTTTTTGAGCAAAAAAAAAGAAGGAAAACCAAAGAAAAGTCAGGGTTATCAGTTTTAGAAATTACAGATGTAAATCAAAAACAGTTGCATCTACCATGTTAAAATCCTCGACGTGAAATCTATGCTGACTGAACATAAGCAGAAAAATAAAAGTACGACAACTCAATTTTTACCAGAAAAAACTTCAATTTCATACATGCTGAAAAAAAGAACGGCAGGTAATCGAATTCCAGCTCTTAGGGCGCAAATTTCGTTACGCGCTGTTTTAAATTTACATGCTATGGACGAAAGTAAAAATTTAAGCTGAATTTCGCAATTATTAGCGAGGAAACGGTAAAAAGTAGCTCTGAAAGGTTAAACAAAGAAGAAAAAAAACAGAAAAATAAGGTTAAGAACACGCTTTTAAAATTTCAATATAGTTGTGCCGGAGTCAAAACTTGATTTTGGAGATTGAGAGTCGTAAATCTTGGAATCTCCACCACGATCCCTTGAAAAATCAATAACTTTAGCTCCGAATAAAGCTATTGCTGCTATTAGATTGCCAAGGCTACGCAGCAAAATTGCCATTAAAAACTTTTGGATTTGAATCTCCGACCTGTAGATTAGGAGTCTCACTTTCCTGCATCTGCTCTACGGTCGCTTGCAAAAACACAAAGACTAGCCACAATTAAAGCAGCAGCAGATGTAATTAAATTGTCATAGTTGGAAATATATCAAAAGTGCCGCCACCAAATGAGTAATTTTAATTGAACTTAGATTTGGAAAACTAGTTGATACCCAGTATAACACTACGCTCCGCATGTGAGCGGAAATAATAAATGTAATACTCGGAGGCAAAAACAGTTGCTTTCCAGTATTACCCTGCGTGTGTGTAACGAAGTAACAAATCTCTCGTTTTTTAAACACTAAGGTAAACAAAGCCCCTTAGCTCGTTTCATTTTAAAAAAGCAGTTCGCCGCCTGCATTGTAAGAATGGAATATACCTTGCGTAAAGTATCGTAAGTTTTTTATCAACCCCCCTAACTTTGCAGAAAATTATTACAAAAAAAAGTTGAGCTCGAACATCAACTATTTCAGATGCTTTCTGTCCAGGACTGTTAGTTGAAAACTGAAAACTTTAAAGAAAAGCTACTATACAGAAAACAAATTTACTA